TCAGCTCCGAAATAACTCAAACTAAAAAGGATGTTTCTGTAAAGTGAAACTGAAGTATTACACATGTAAGGAAGTTGGAAAAATAAAGTGTGTGACACACCACTGCATAGAATTTTTTAAATAAATAAATGCTTGCAATAATAATAATTTCAGAAGTACTTGCAAAAATACAGCACAAACAGCCTGTTCCACCCAAGAGCGAATCGTGCGGCTGCGACTGACTACATATGGCATGAAGAGAAAGCATGAAGCCAGTGGTGTTTCTGAGGCTGAAAAGAGGAGAACGGCCAGACTCATGGCTGCTCACAGGAAGGACAAGTGCAAATGTAACATCTCAGTACAAAAATGGTGCGTAGAAAGGCTCCTCTGAACTCATCTGCCTTGAAGACCAAAGTGGGTCCTACTTGGTTCCCTCCTCCTCCAGCCCGTGCAGACTCCCTCTTCTACCTCCTCAAACCTGTATAGGCTAGCCCCTCCTCCTCTTACAGGCTGTGTGGGCTGCCTTCTCTACCAGCTCCAGCTGTGTGGGCTCCTCTTTCCTTGGCCTGTGTGGGCTCTGATCTCCTCCTCTGGCCTGCACAGGTTCCCACCTCCTCCTCCTTCCCTGGCCTGCATGGGCTCCTTCTGCTGCTCCCCCTCCTCCACTGGCCTGCACGGGCTCCCTCCTCCTGCTCCTCCTCTGACCCACATGGGCTCCCTCCCTCCCTCCTCCTTCCCGACCCACGTGGGCTCACTCCTCCTCTTGATTCTCCTCCCCTGACCTGTGTGGGCTCCCTCCTCTTCCTCCTCCAACCACAAGCCAGAGGCAAATGCCCTGCTCGCTTTTGCAATGGCTTCCCGACGTTGATGGACATGTGTTAATCATTCCGGTCTTCCTTGTATGCATTTCTGTCTCCCTGTCTCCCTGTTTTGTATTCCACACAAATGTGGCACGGCATTTGTCCCTGCCAGGGTGTCTTCACTGGCTAGGGAATTAATCGAGGGCACTCACTGAAGGTAATTAGCGACTTTCCAATCAGTTTAAGTATTACGAAACATTGTGGCCTGTTTATGCCCTCAGGAGTCGGATAATGGTGTCCAAATTATGTATTTTAACTCCATGGTGGATCTACATGTGACACTATGGTTGTCGCATCAGATCCTAGACTGAAGGATGGGCTACTTATTTTATTACAAACAAATCTGAAGGAAGCTAATTATTTAAATAAACAAGGACAGACACTTCCTACGATTCCACTGTGAACTTTAATAAATCAAACAAATCCCAGTGCAACCACCCCGATGTCACAAAACATTACACATAAATCACCCACACTCTGCCATGTATAATTATCCTGTAGTAAGCGGTGATTTCAATTCCCTGAGGGAGATGACAGAATATGGATGCCGCATCTTTTTCCTGGGGCTGGCTCCTGATTGGACGCCACAGCCATGTGACAGGTTACATCACTAACGCACATCCTGATGCCTCACCTACACGAGAACTGCAGTGGACATTCACTCACACCTGAGTGAGAGCAGAGTGGCAAACTTATTTAACAAATTCTCATTCATTTGGTCACTGTTACCCACAGCTAAACCTCATATGCAAACAAATTTGCACAAAAAAAAACGTCTGTTTAAAAACTGTTTCTGTTTAAAATTTGTTTTGCAGCCACTAAACAAACATTATTCAGCTAAAAGAGTTCACTGGTTAACACCAAAAATATGCTTCACAGTCTGAGGGCACATCCAAAACTGTATACTTACACAGTAGGTACTGAATTTCGCCAGAAGCCTACTACTTGAGTGTTAATATAGTATGTGGTGTAACTGTATGCATGCATTCGGACACACCATGCTAGCTTGCATATTACCTCACCTGGATGTTTTCCAATGACATAGCTTGACCCGCAAAACTCAATTATAATAAAAAAAAACATATTCAAGTCAACTAATGTCATTGTTTTCTGATTAAATTTGTACAGAGATGGAACTTACCCCCTGCACGCTGACAAAAATTTCTGAGCAAGTGACTTTCTTGTCTGTGGCTGCAGCTCCTGTGGCCTTGTGGGACAGCAGAGTGTCCATCCGTAACACACTTCGGGATTTCACAGAAGGTAGTATATCATCCGGGTACGGCTCGCCTACTGTGTCATCCAAATCGGGGATTCAGATATAATGTTCATATCGCATACTATATTTAGCCCTACTGCACAGCAAACAAGTATGCAATTTTGGATGCAGCCTAAGTCTTTCCCCATTCATCTGTTTAGCATCGTCTGCATAAGTTGAACGGTGTTTTGAACATGCACGCTTGGAACAAAACGCCCAGTAGCTATTCAATAATCTTGCCGATCCTGACAAAGGACCGCACAGCAATGGAATTTACCGGAGCTCACGTGTGGCTGCTTTTAATGCATATTAGCTTCTGGTTTCCTGGTCATAAAAGGAGGGGGGGGGGGGTCACTTCTTGCCCAAGGAGAAACAACGCAGCGCTACTTAAAAGCAGACGTCTCTCTCGAAAGATGCACCTCCCCCCTGCCCCGAGGAGCCTAATCTGGGATCTTGAGAGTCTGCAAACAAGCTCAAGCGTCCCCAGGGTCTTCCTGTTAAATCATCTCTTCCGTCCGAGCCTATTTGCGCCTCTCGCGGTGCAAAAGCATTCTCCGTCCGCCGCCACATTACGGCACTTTTCTGCGCGAGTTGACTGATAGCAGATAATTGCACAATTAAAGCGATTTTCTTCCCCTATCTGTCGGGTGGGATCTAATCAGCCTCACAGATGCTGCTGGGGCATCAACCCCCTCCCCACCCCCTCCAAACCACCCACCCTCAGCAGCCAAAACCCAGCCGGGGCCAGGGGGCTGAGCCGTTTATTAAATTATCAAGCAGGACACAGTTCCAGTTTCATCAGTAAACATGGGACACCAAAGATCACAAGGCCAAGCTAACCTAGCAGACGATGCCACAGGAGGGAGGGATTAAGAGAGTAGGGGTCCTTTTATTGTCCATACTAATAAAGAAAAAACATCAAGCACCGACTGGGCCGGACTAGAAGAGAGAAATGTGCTCATTAATGTATAATATGCCATGGAAATAATTAACAGATAAGCCGACCACAACAGCAAAGCTACCAAACAATCAGACATTGCAAATAAAAGTTTAAATGTACAGTTACCTAATAAGCTTGACTTTAATGCATCTGCTGGTGCACATATTTCAAATACTAAACCTACTTAGGACCTTCAGGGACAAATAACTTTCATCCCTAGCAGAAAGGGTGGGTCCCTCTCCGGAAGACGGTGGAGTCGGTGAGAGCAGTACATCTTCCTCTGATGTGATTTAACCGCGCACATTCTCAAAGGTCTCCGCGGCACCATTAGTTTAAGAGCCTCCCGCGATCGATCGCCGTGTACTCGGAACCCTGTGCCTGCCACTCGCACCAGGAACGGCCAGACAGAAAAGCTGATCACCGCTTTGCTGTCCAACCAAGAGGGTCCAGTCAGAAAGGTGAGCTTTAGAAGGGCCAACTCAATCGCCATTTTATTTACCGCCAGAAAGAGAACGCACACAACGAGTGGCCGTGAGACGTGAGGCCCTCGGGCCGAATGGTAAACTGACAGTCGAACCAGGCTGGCATCCATAGAGGCGCCTTAAAACCTGCCAGGGAAAAACCGCAGATCAAGAGTCATGGCGTCCACGAGGATTGTGAACAGTTAGCGACATGCTTCCTATGGTCTCATTTATGGTCCCCCCCCCCCGGAATCAGAGTCAGTGCTATGCCGGCTGAATACCCGTCACCTACAGCGGAATTCATTAAACCGCTGTTAATGTCCTCCACTTCTAACGCAATTCTTATAATTGAAATTTAATTCTGCAACAATATTTGGAAGTGTTTTAATTGACGTTTGTTGTAATTAATTGCAGGAACATGCAGGCCTTCACAGGGGTGTGGGGTGCAAAAAAAACAATGTGACACAGAGATTGGACGGGCGCAGGCGGCGAAGGGCCAGCTGGGAGCGTTTCATCATCATCGCTCCCCCCCCCCCCGCTGACGGCGAGCTCCTCCTCTCAGTCAGAGATTTAATTGCACACAGATTCCATTACTCTGGCACAAAAGGCACGTTTGCCTCTGATCAGGACCAAGGGGCAGGCGCCGTGTCCCCGGCAAGCGAACTACAGGGCGGGAAAGGGGTTCGGCCTGCAGGATGTGGATGCGTCCTGGTCCTTTCGAGTAGTGAGGAGCAGCGAAGTGGCTCAGCTCGCCGAGACGGACCTCCGCAGGCGTTTTCTTACTGGAAATGTCTTGCTTGCTTCTGCACGTTACATTTCCTAACTGCAACTCCAAGATTAATTTGCCCCATAGAATAACTAAAAGACATAAACCGCCATATGTAGGTCCGTTGAGTGCATGCAGCCTGCTTTTGTGTTTTACAGCGGTCCCCTGGTACCAGATCCAGGGCGGACGGGCTGATACACCCACAGAAAAGTACTCAGCTAGTCCCACACAGACCAGCTGGGAAGTTCTGAGAATTTTTTTTATTTAAATATGGAAGCAAACACCTGAGTTAAATTTCTCAAAGGGGGTTAAAAAACTAATAAATCATCTGAATAACCAATTTTTATTGCTTTAAAAATAATGTGCTGAATATGCAACCACAGGTTCACAGCCTTAAGGGTGAGGCTGTTTGCACCCTTCATTGATGCTGAATTTGGTTTTTACATATTAAACTAAAATTTTTTTTTAAAGGAATTAGGGAAAAATACAGTATAATACAAGAATCATTTGTAAAATTAGATTGGGGAAAATAAATTTAAGAAATTTTTCAGATTTTATTGATATTTTTAGATTTTATTTGGAAAATTGATAAACTACAAAAAATACACACCAGTGAGGTCTAGACTGAAGCAAGCAACCGTTATCGCTGCCTTCGGTTGACTGCCCAATTAGAGCCTCAAAACTCATCTTTCCAGGAAACCATCCAAAGTGTATGATGAGGATGAGGGCGAGAGCTTACCGTGTTCAGCTGTGTGAGCAAGATGGACATCTCATCCATTCAGGGGACATTCAACGGCAAGCCATCAACAGGTCACAGATGCCGTTTTACCTTAAATGCAAAAAAAAAAAAGAAAAAGTCAGGGCACAACATAACCGTCTTAAACAGGAAGTGACACCATTTGACAAAAGGTGGGGAAAGTACCTCGAGTTTATTTAGCCCACATAAACAGGAATAAGAAAACACAGAAAAGAAAACGTGACCGGCACAAACATCAGGGATTTAGCTCGAATTATGACACATACCTTCCCATTCACTGGGGGCCCTGTATGTTTTCAGCAGCCAGTCATCTCTTTTTATAGTATGAACTTTCAGTCTGAGTAATATTTCTGAAGAATCTTATTAGCACAAATCATATTCGTCTGCAAATTCGCAAATTTGGAGGGGGTGGGTGTAATTGAGAAGGGCCCCGCACCGAAAACAGCCCCTTTCGGCACAGAATCACCAGAAACATCACCGCGACTTAATCAATGATCAGTCTACTATTTATAAGTCATGGTGCTGTATATGATGATTATTACCATATATAGCAATGGTATATATTAATTAATTATGCAATATACATCATTCTTTTATGAGTATCCTCTTCATCATAAAGATGATGAACAGCCTTAGTTCACTCCTCCAGCGCACCATTGCCAGTAGAGACGGCTACAGCTGTGAACCAAGCGAATCCTTGTCTGTAACGTCGCCGGATTCTAGGGATGTCATTACATAACGTCACTAATCAGTAGAGTGGGTGAGAAAGGACAGTGTTTCCGCTTTGATTTAATAATGAAAAGCACAAAAAAAAAAAAAAAAAGAAGTTACTAGGCAACACGCAACTGGCAACCGCACGACGTACTGCGAGGTCACCATTAGTTCATTATACGACTATTTTAATGAATGTTGTGTTACCTTGACGACTGAGGCCGCTCACTACTGGATGCCTGGAGACCCACGCGGATGTTAATAGGTTTACGAGGACAGCTCAGAGATTTATGCTGTGTATAAAAACAGGCTAGGAGTGCCCATTCCTGGCTCAATAAACAAACAACTTATTATCGTCATCATTAACATGAACAACACAAAGGCTGTCATCATATTAATAATTATTAAAGCTGTGCTCTAATGAATAACAGAGGCACCGGCTGGAAAGGCAGGGAAGGTGCCCTGTTGGGCTGGCATCTCCTGGGCCCAGACCTGTAAACCTTACCTGCATCAGCAGCCCGATGAGCAGACAGAGCTGAGAGATGAGGATGCAGAGGTTGCTTCACTTGGTGTTACTATGCAAAGACTGTAGCTATACAGGGTTCACATGTACCACATCCCCGCCAGGGGGGGGGAGGGGGGTGCGGCACAGCCACACTTTACTTCCTTGCCAGATGCGCAAGCCTCAGAATGCTGCCCTCCCCGGCTGATCCAGCCAATCGGGTGAGGCCGAGAGCACCCACAGTCACAGGACCAAACGTGCGACCTCAGCTTTCAGCGTTGGAGCCCGACCAGACACAACAAGCCACGATGCGCCGGCTCACGCACACGGAATTCCCGCGAACGCTATTAGCAGTTCGCCTTCTGCTGTCAGACTCCGATAAGACCCCCCTTGCTTGCCCACCCGCCCACCATTAATCAACAACAGAGGTAAAAGATTTTGATCCCAACGGCAGTTTTATTTACCGATGGCCCGACGCTGCCCTCAGCAGCCACCAGCCAGGCAAATAAAGCACTGTGTTAGCGATTAGCGCAGACAGGGGTACACAGCGTGGATGCAGCTCCAATAAACGCTCCCTGGGACACCCCCAGCGCCGCCCACGCCGCCTGGGAAAGGTGTCCCGCTCCTTTAATTCGCCACCATGTGGTTTCAATCCTCTCTCGCCAAATTAGAGTCCCTGTCAGTCTGGCAAGATGCCGGCAGCCAGGCCTCTCGCACTACTAGCTTAATTGCCTCTTGTTTGTGAATTAAAGGCTCAACGTGATTTTGACAGAAGCGCAGGTTGTTCTGGAACAATCTTATTTTACTGCAGCAATTACGGCTCGGCATTCGTTTCAAAGCGCGCGGGCGCGTGCTCTAGCTAGGACGACATGCCCCATGTAAACGCTCATCCTCATTTCCTACCTCGCCTTCCTCGGCACGGTGGGAAAACGTCAACCAAGAGCTTCAAGGCTGAACTGTATCGTCCGGGTTTTTACCCAGATAATACAGTTCATTGTCCAGTTTAAGCCAGTTCACAGAAAACTGATGTGCATGTAGCCTTACCTACGCTCTCAAAGCTCAGTACCAGAGCCGACCCGGAAGGACCCGGAATGCATGAACGGAGGATGGAAGCTTTCACAGAAATAACCAGCAGTGCGACTCAGAGAGTCACCCCAACACCTGGCACCTCAACACCCCCTCCCACACACCCTCACCTACGCTCTAGAGCAGGGGTGGTGCCAGAACCGGGCCAGAAGGATGGACTCTGGAGAATTACAGGAAGCATGCTTTTCTGGAGTGAACGTCCACTTGACCCCACGGATGCTAAAGGCATGTCGGTGGGGGAGGCGGCAGCAATGATTTAAACTCCTCGCTAGACGGGCCGACAAGGTTGGGGGGTCGGCGAAGACATTAACAGGTCAGTGCGCGGCCCACTTGGGAACAATTGCGCCCGGTCGCGGCTAAGTGGACACTTGATTGAACACGATAGAGGCACGACACACTTCCCACAGATAACAATCCCAGAAGCCATTTAGAATAAAAGCCCCTGTGATTCTGCCTTTATGGGCAAAATTCATCTTCTCTCTCCTTTTAAAGAAGGGGGCAGTCTGAGTGCCGTTCCTCTGCTGAAGGGGGCCCATTCAAATACTTTTCCCATGTTAAATAGGACATTACTCTGGCTGAGAGCCGAACAAGAATAATTGCAAGGTGAGAAAAGAATACTATCTTTTCACTTACAATTTTATTAGGATTATGATAGCTTTTTTGCGGGAGGGGGGTGCAATTATATTAACCAATTCCAGATTAAATTGATTTTCATTTAGACTGTTTTTTGTGCTGAGCTGTGTTCTGTTTGGTACTCAGCTCTGCACATGTTGAGATGGCATTTCCCCAGATACTGTCCAGAGCTGACAGGACACAGGACACCCTTATCGGTGCGGCAGAGTGACTTCATTCACCTCGCGAAAGAGGACCAATGCTCAGGAACTCCTTTCCAGGACAAATGCATGACATTTTCGTCGCAAAGTGGGAGACAGGACGCCCATCCAATCGGCGGCCATATCGGTGCTCAGAAAGCATCAGCATAAGACCATCGCTGCTCTGCTGAATCAGCTACTATGAAAATGACAAACTGTGATTCTGAACTTAAACAGCCGCGAGTCAAAGCTACCTGCAGTTACAAGCTTGACTCTTTCTCCACCTTCACATCAAACGGGCACGCGATGCGGGTCTAGAGCACAGAAATCTGAAGCCAAAACTCACGGAAACCATCGAATGCGTCAATGGCCTCGCGTCTCCGCGATCGCTCTCGGATGGGGCACACCTAATGGGAAACGGAAACCGCAAAATAATAAAAAAAATATATATATATACATAATGATAAATCATTACATCGAATAATTACATCAGCCACACAAAGCCACCTGCCCTCTTTCATTAAGTTTGCTCTCCAGGATTGCAGGATTGAATCTGTTTGTGTCTGTATGTGCATGTGCATGTGTGTGTGCGTGCGTGTAATTTGCATGTTCTCCACATGTCGACGTGGGATTCCCCGGCTTGCATATGCAGGTGCATCAGAGAACAAGCACCTCACTTCAAACAGTGACACCTACCATGCCGCCTGAACTAGTTTAACAGTGTACCACTCGTTTCCTTCTCCGCAGCCGTGCAGATACCAGACAACATGCACAGGGCATCCACGCTACAGGCACCATACACGGGAGGCCATTAGCTCAGAGTTTCCGCTTGCTTCTTATTGATTTACGAACACCTCCGCCCCCGTGGCCGACCCCAAGGGGAACGGGAATCGTCTCCCATTGCCTAGAAAAACCACAGCACACCTCCAACATGGGTCTGCCAGCTGCAAGAGGGGGGTGCCACAGCAGAGTGTGAGAGCTGGTGTGGCAGACAGAAGGGTGAGGAAAAGCGAGAGAGAGAGAGACAGACGGCGGGGGCTGTCTTTCTACAGTGCATTGTCTTTGATGCACGCACACACACAGACAGACACATGCACTCCACAAACACTAAAAATAGAGCACACTTCTTAAGAGGGCAGAAATGCCAGTTCATTACCAGGCCCGGCGGACGGCGCCGGCGCTGTTACTGTGGACGTGCGGCCGCACGGCTCCCGTCCTCATTAACTGGGCCGCTTTCCAATTCATTTAAGGCCCCCGGGACACAGCCTTCACCGAATTTACAGAAATGACAAAACATTAGCAGATTTGCATATGCAAATGAGGCCGAGCAACAGGCGATCCCGCTCAATTGACCTACTGCTTGTCGCGGTACCGGGGCTATTCCCCGGGATGACGCCGTAGCAAGCGAGCGTCATGTGAACGCCATCTGGGTACCCCTTATTTAAAACTGGCAGACTTCCCGTGGCACCCAGCCTGGCGGCGAGCAGGAAGGGAATAAATTGCATCATTTACTTAACATCCACTCGCTGTTGTGCGCGTTAAAAACCCATGACTAAATAATTTGGTTACTCCGGCTGCCAGTTACCGCTGTCAGCCAAATGACACTGTACCCGCCACAAACAGCATGACAGTCAGGCAGCTGATGGGGGGCTTTAAACATCAAGATGGGAGCCACTTTAAACGGAAGGGAAAAAAAAAAAAAAAAAAAAACACACAGCGATACACCAAACTGATCCAGGAGCACCGGCCAAAAATCAAGACGGGGCAACCGCGAGTCCGAAAGCTCTTAATTACGGCGCAGCGTAATCAAGTTTATATTAATATCACGCACGGCTACACGGACCTGACAGAGCAAATGATGAAATCTTTGTCTTGGGGAGAAAGAGAGACTTGCAAAGCGGGAAGTTAACAGGATCTGATGAGCGTGATATTCAGCTGCGGTTGTGTAACTGGAAGACAGA